TTCAGTGCAATTTGTCGATTGATTTCCTGACTGCTGTTTCCACGCATGTTAATGTGGATTTAAGTAACAGAAGATCCTAGACAACTTCATTTTTTTTCTCCATTTCTCATGATGCTTCTTATTAGTCCACTTGTGATGATTTTTGTATTCTTTATGTTGTAGAATAATTCCTAGTGAAAGCTATCATCTTTTATCTACATCAGTAAAGATTTCAAGCGCTTTTCACTTTCAACAAGCACAGTTGTGTCTTCTGCATATCACAGGTTTTCCTGATATACTTCAGCTTCTCAAGATTATTTGCTCAGCACATAGACTGAATAAGTACAGTGAAAGGGTACAGCCCTAACACACACATTTCCTGATTTTAGACCTTGCACTAGCTCCTTGCTTTGTTAAAACAGCTGTGCTTTAGTCTATGTGTAGGTTCCAGTTGAGCACAATTAAATGTTTGGGAATTTTCATTCTTTGCAATGTTATCTGAAATTTACTATAATCCGCACAGTTTAATGCCTTTGCACAGTCAATAAAATCCAGGTAAACATCTTTCTGGCATTCTGTGATTTCTGTCAAGGTCCATCTGACATCAGTAATGATATCCCTCATTCTACATCATATTCTGAATCTGGTTTGAATTTCCGTCAGTTTCCAGTTGATGTACTATTACATCCATTTGAACATTATCTTCAGCATAATTTGACTTGCTTGTTAAATTAATGATATTGTTGAATAAATTCTGCATTTCTTTAGATCACCTCTCTTTGAAATGGTACAAATAATGGATCTCTTCCAGTCAGTTGGCCAGGTAGCTGTCTTTAAAATTTCTTGGCATAGATAAGTGAGTGTTTCCAACATTGCATTTGTTTCTTGAAATATTGCTTTTGTTATTGTATCTTATTACTGAAGCCTTGCTTTTCGCCAATGTTTTTGGTGTAGCCTGGACTACTTCCTTCCTTCGGTTACATTTGTTCTAGATCATTTGTTACCTACTGAAATGGCTGATAGTGGATCAATTCTTTTTGGTACAGTGGAGCTGTGTATTACTTCTTTCATCTTTAGATACTTTATGTGTTATTCAATTTTTTGTCCATTTTTGTTGTTGCTAAGTGCCATCAAGTCAATTTCAACCCATAGGGACCCTATGTAGGGTTTCCAAAGAGCAGCTAGTGGGTTTCAACCACCTACCTTTCAATTACCAGTCCAGTGCTTATCCTGCAGCATCACAGCACGACAGAATCCTTTAATATTTTAATTCAAGGCTTGAATTTTTCATTTCTTTATGCTTGAGAAATGCTGAGCATGCTCTTCTCTTTTGATTTTCTAACCAGATTTTCACACATTTAATTTTAATGTTTTGTGTTCTTAGGCTCCTCTTTGAAATCGGATGTTCAGCTGTTACATCATCAATTCTTTCTTTTGCTTTAGCTATTCTATGTTCAAGAACGCGTTTAAGAGTCTATTTTGACATCAATTTTGGTCTTTTTTCTTTTTCTTTTCTTTTCTCTTTTTAATGAACATTTGCTTTCTTCATATATGATGTCTTTGATGTTATCCAACTGGTCTTTGGATCGATGTGTCAAATCTATTCTTAAAATAGTCTCTAAATTAAGGTGGGGTATGCTCAAAGCTGCACTTTGGCTCTTGTAGACTTGTTTTCAAATTCTTCATCTTTAACTTGAATTTGCTTATGAGTATTTGATCTGTCCCACAGTCATCCACCAGCCTTCTTCTGATTGTCTCCATGGTCTCTTGCCACAAATGTAGTTGATTGTTTTCTTGTGTATTCCGTCAGGTGTGGTCCAGGTGTGTAAACCAAAATACCACTGCTGTTCAGTCAATTCTTACTCATAGCAACCTTGAGACAGAGCGAAATTGCTCTACAAGGTTCCCAATGCTGTAAATCTTCCGGAAAGAGACAGCCACACCTTTCTCCCATGGAGCAACTGGTGGGTTCAAATTGGCAACATTTTAGTGTGCAGTAAAGCACATTAAACACTGACCCAGCAGGGCTCCTTTCCACATGTATGTTGTTAAAATATAGGACATGTCATCATTTATATTGTTAAAATGTTATTTTTAAAGGGCAAGTTTTGGGTCTTACAAAATTCTTCATATGATATCTGTTATCATTTCTATTACCAAGGTCTTATTTTCCAACTTCTGCATTTCTTCTTTGTTTCCAACTTTAACTTTTCAATTACTGGTAGTTATCAATGAATTTTTATTGCACTTTTGATCAATTTCAAGCTGCAGAAGTTGCTAAAACTCTTTCGTGTCTTCATCTTTGGCATTAGTGATCGGTGCTGTACTCGTGGCCACTCGGCTTCTTATGTAAAGCATTCTATGTAAGAACTGGAATGAAAAACCAGTTTAGTTGCTTGAATTAAAAATTGCTGATCTCATCTTAGCATCTCATATTGCACATGAGGAAATTGAGGTTTAGAGTAGTTAAGGGATTTCCCGTGATCACATGATAAGAGTAGCAAATCAGTCTCTGGTTCACTTTGAAATCTCATAGTCTAGAGTACATTAGGTTGGAGCCTCATATTTTGATTGTTGTCTGGAGTATAACTTACAGACTAAGGATCATCTATGAAATGGATTTTCATTAAAATATTACATAATCAGTTCTCTGATCATGACTATTAGTTCATAGTCCACATGAAGATAACACCAGAATATCATTCAATATTTAATATTAGTAGTGGTTGTTTACAATAGTATATTTCAAGAAATATTAAGAGGCTTTACGATTGCATTTTGCAAAGGAAATTCTCTTTGATATTATTCAGTTCATTCGCTGTTTTGTCAGCCTAGAAGGATGATTCTCATTGCAGTGTGCCAACTCTGACCAAAGTCCTAGAGGGTAGCAGATGTCAGATGACTTCAGAGTGTAGGGAAAGCTACTCTTTCTAGTCTATCTCAAGCAATTAATAAAATACCAACCCAAGTGTCCAGTGATGTATGAAAGGAAAACAAAATCATTTGTCTAGGCTTATATGTGTCCCTTTTACATTAAGAACAGTGAAACTAATGAAATATGCTTCTTAATCACCTGGACCTCAGTGTAAATTAGTTTACTGTATCCTATGTTCTATAGTGGAAGCGTCCTACATATTTGTTGTTGTTGTTGTTAAGTGCTGTTGAGTCGGTTCCGACCCATAGTGACCCTGTATAGGGTTTCTGAGGAGCAGCTGTTGAGCTTGAACTGCTGACCTTGCAGTTCAAATGGCTTTGAAGTTTGGTGCATTAACCCACAAATTTGTAAGAATGCATACAAAAATGAAATGAAATTGTTGAGGTTAAATTTTGTAATATTCATTTTTCACCACTTGGAAAAATTTTATTATATTTTATATTGCCATTATTTATGTAACTAAGCAAGTAGTGGTGTCCTTGTGTGGCATTGCGGGTTAATGTGCTGGATTGCAAGGTCAGTTTGAACTTCAAAGTTTGGTGGTTCAAGCTCACCAGCTGCTCCTGGGAAACCCTACAGAGGGTTGATAGGAGTCAGAACCAATTCGAAGGCACTTAACAACAGCAAAATGCAAGTAATGTTTTTGAAAAATTAGATGATTCCTCAATTAGAAATAAACTAATGAGACTGATATTTCTGTTGCAAAAAAAACTATGAATAGAAAAATATAGTTTGAATGTCATGTCAAAATACAATTTCTATTACTCTTCCTACAACTTTGATTAAAATATTCTGTTTTATCTCTCTTTTACTCTTGGCATCTATGCTTTCCTTGACAATGGACATTTTAAAGATGGAAATATTTGTTTATAAACTATATAGTACATTATGACCTGTTATCAACTTCAGATCGACCTCATTAGAAAAAAGAGGTTAAAAAGAAAGTAGCTTCAATGAGTCTACTTTCAAATGAGGACAGAAGTTATAGGCCCTTGCCAATTTTATTACAGCAGTATCTACCCATTCCACAAATTGTTTTCTTTATGTAATGAACACACCTACATAAAGATACGAACAGGAAGACTGATTAGGTGAAACACTAGAAAAAACAAGTTCATTTTCACAATTGCCATGAATCAATTGCACGTGACAAAATGAACAGCACATTATGAAAGTTTAATATTTAAACAAAAACCTTTGACACTAGTAAGAAAAAAAGTTCTTAGCATTAAAACTACACATCCTCTATATTATATATTTTTTCCAAATTATACAGCTATGGAATATTAAATATTAGGTACTACCAATGAAATTTATATTAAATCAAATGGTTCATTTTCTTAGCAAGTTTATAAGACATATATACAATTCAAACATGAACTTGGTATTCTTTATGAGATTTTCCTTTAACATGATTATAATTAGGCTGATAATAGAGAGAATACTCGTGTTGACTTTGTGGTAATGCATTTCTCCAACTTACCCTTGGTTTTTCTTTTAACAGGTAGTTTACAAATGATTGGAAGAATTTATTTTTTCTAAGAATCATCATCAGTGAAATATATATCTTGCTGTTCATTCCTGAAGAAGGTACAATAAAGAAATCCTGTTAGCATAACTTTTTAACGTTTAGACTAAGAAGACATCAGTCTACCCATGTTTAATTTCCATGAACCTCTGGGTAGGGTGTGAATGACTGTTTGTGTGGAGAAGCCAACTAGAGAGCAAAGATCCAACTGGGCTCTCAGGTCAAGGAAAAGCAGTAAGGGTGAGAGGACAGCAAGCATGGTTCTACTTAGATAAGATTTCAACATGTTAATCATCCATAGAAAGAAAATTCAGAATAGGATAATTTTGAAGAAAATATCTGTATAGTAACATATATTATTTCTGTCTTTGATACACTATTAAAAGCAAGAAAGGGGAGAAGGATCTATAAAGTCACTTTGCTAAAACAACAAGGAAAGCATTTGTTTATTTATAACTAGAAAAATTATTTGCTTCACTTGCATGTTTTCTTTGTACTTTGATCTTTTTGTACTGATATTTAAACTTCTGTTTTACAATCTATTTCTAGTGATAAAAAAATCAGACCTCTTGGAAACCACTGTAATCAGACCTAAGAATTCAAAAGAAGCAGGTGCTGAGATTTAATTTGTCTTCCGAACAGGAGAAATGGGCTGTGATCGCAACTGTGGGCTCATTGCTGGTGCTGTCATTGGGGCAGTTCTGGCTGTGTTTGGAGGTATTCTAATGCCAGTTGGAGACATGCTGATTGAGAAGACAATTAAAAAGGTACAGTTGTCTAAAAGATATTTCGTGTCATTCTGATTCATACTCTCCTCTGTTTCTTTGCTATTTTGAGTGCCTATTTGATATATTATGATAGTTTGTAATTTTGTATCAACCATTGCAAGTCTAAATGGTAGAGAAGTGAACATCCATGAATGATCATAAATATTATGCATATTTAATAATCATGCATTGATATCTTAAATATAAATATCTAACTTATGAAGGAAAAACTAATTACAGGTGTGTATGTCTATGGGTCGGACCCGACTCGATGGCACTTAACAACAACAACAATGTTAGTAGAAGTAATCATTTTTTTATTATGTCCCAGAAGTATAATGTTAACTTTTTAGTAAGAAATATTTTGTAAAAGTGGTAGTATTTTGGCTATTACTGAAAATTAAAATCATATTAAGTATGCATTTAAAACTTAAGTATCATTATCATGTTTAATATTGGTAAAACAATTTGGCAAACTTTTTCATTTATTTTTTAAATTAAGTTTGTAGTAATCTAAGATTATCTTAGAATGTTTCCCATTTATGAAGATTTATATTTGTAACTTAAAAAATACATTCAGAAATAAGTTATATAATACATATCCCAGTAATATGTAATAAATTGACTGCAGTTTTATGTAAAGTTAGATTGAATCATTATATGTGCTTTACATAACAAATTAGAATTCTTCTCCTACCCTAGTTCCTAATTAACATCACACTCACTCAAATGAAACTTTAATTGATGGGGAAAGAGAAGAATCACATAAGGGAAGCTGATCTACTAAAGTCCTAAACTAAGTCTGGCAAATTTAAATGGCTTCAGAAGTGTTATAAAAAAAGTTAAAAAGGAAAGGAAAGAAGAGCGTCTGCCAAGAACAAGATAAGAGGAAAAACAGGAATTGTGAAGTTGAGAGTGTGTGCCCTGCTCAAAGGCATTAGTTCATTTTTTTAGGCCATGATGCTGACCAAATACAATATATCTTGAGTGCTACCTTCAGCTTTTAGCCTGGTTAGAATGTGAGTGACCTAGACAGTTAGTAACCAGCTTCCATAATGGAGAATAATATCAATTAAGTCATAACTTCGTTATGTGTACCATTGTCTGTGAGTACCAAGACCCTTATCTGTCTCTTACATTTATCTATACTTGGCAGCTCTTTCTAGGAATGTGAATATATACTATTTTATTTCACTGCAACATTCTCTAAATTGACACATTCATCTGAAGAATTAAATTCAAATCTAGTTACTCATGGGAAGACATTACTATTTTCTGATTTTTTTCTTAGCTAAAATGCCAGAGGTTTTAAAATTAAAAGACAGTCTTCTTGTTGGACTATCATAGTTTTTATTTTAGTGTATTTTAAGATAGTAATTCCTATGCTTGAATACTTTAGTTACTCAATGTTAATATAGTCATTGCTATCTTTTCTATTGCTAATAGACTGCAGATCTTCAGTTCCATGTTTTAGGTGAGACATTTCATCCAAGATGTTTAGTGTTTTCACTGAGAGAAGTATGATTAAAATTGAATGGTATTCCTGCTTTGGGATTCCCAATTTTCTTGATACTAATTTTCAATATAGTATATATAGAAACAGGTGGTTATGAGGCTGGATTTGTCTAAAATTTGAGGTGAAATTATAGTTGCTCTAGCACCCTCCAGCACAATATGTGTAATTGTTAACCAATATAATATAACTGAACTGTTAGTAAAGCTCCCTGAATAGAAATATAATAATGTCCCAGTATACAGAATTTTGAAGGAACTCTGGTAGCGTAGTGGTTACGAATTGGGCTGCTAATCTCATAGTCAGTAGTTCAAAACTACCAGCTGTTCCATGAGATTTACAGCCTCAGAAACCCTATACAAGGTTGCTATGAGTCGGTACTGATTCCATGGCACATAACAACAACAACAACAATACAGAATTTTAGACCAAGACTATTTTTTTTGTTGTTGTTATATAACCAGTGATCAACAGCTGAACATTAATCATCTAACTTTTTTCTTCCTCATCAACAGAATCATTAATATAGACCTCTTAGGTGGCACGTTAGATGCCAGAATTTTTCTTAATTATTTAATCTTTTCCTCTAAGCTAGTAATGCTTAATTATAAGAAAATAAGAATTTTGTGACATCAAAACATGATTTTGTATAGAGACTAAAAGAAAGAAAAATAAATTTTTATCTCAATAACTATAAAATTATACTGGGAATTAACTATATCAGTAAAAATAGAGATGTGAAACTCTAGAATTATAGAGTATGTAATATGAAAACATGAATACTATTTAGCAATACTATTAGCAAAATAAAATCTTATAAAGCATTCAATAAACTTCAGGAAGAGGAAGAAAACCACTGTTGGAATTTGAATATGAATAGAGTTTTGGAAAACCCAAATATTATAATAGTAAATGTGTCAAGGAGTTGATTATTATATGGAAAATGTCATGAAAATGGAATCAAATGCTGTGAAGGGGGACGACATAAGGTAGATGATGTTGCAAGAATACTGGATTAACAGGAGGGATGGTAAATCTAGAGAAGTAATGTGAGTTAGATGTAGGTGCTTTAACTGATGAAGAAATGTTGATGACTTGAGAGGCAATAGTAGCTAGCAGGTGGTTTTTAATCGATCTGAGACAAAACCCACATTCACGTATTAGTATCATCAAGTAACTAGAATTTACTTAGTGCTTACTAAGAGCTTCATGTAAACTATTCATTTAATTATCAGAAGCACTCATGGGCATGATTACTATTAATCTATCCATTTTATAAGCACAAGACATTAAATCTGCTTGCTGACTAACCTAGCCAGTAGGAAACAGAGTCAATATCCAAAGCTAGATAATTTCATGGCATCATGGCAAAGTCAAGCTGATACACAGCCTCATACACTATGCTTCTGAAATAAAAATAGTTACAAAGTGAGGAAAGCAAATATAGAGAAATTAGAAAAAACTGTAAAATATATGACCATGTTCAAAGAAGATTTAAAACCTCCTAAGGAGCTCTGGTAGCGTAGTGGTTACGAATCGGGCTGCGAACCTTAAGGTCAGCGGTTCGAAACTACCAGCCGCTCCGCGGGAGAAAGATGAGGCTTTCTACTCCCGTAAAGATTTACACCCTCGGAAACGCTGTACAGGGTCGCTATGGGTCGGAACCGACTCGACGGCACTTAACTACAACAACAATAAAAAGACATTTGTTTGCATATTATATGTTGTTGTTAAATGCCATCAAGTTGGTTCATAGCAACCTATATAGGGTTTCCAAGGAGTGGTTGGTAGGTTTGAACCACCGACCTTTAGGTTAGAAATCTATTGCTTAACCTACAGTACACCACCAGGACTCATTAACAACCTGCAATAATGTAGATGACACAACCTTGCTTGCAGAAAACAAGGAGGACTTAAAATACTTACTGATAAAGATCAAAGACTACAGCCTTCAATATGGGTTGCAGCTTAACGTAAAGAAAACAAAATTCTCACCACTGGACCAATACATTTTTTGTTAAGTGCTGTTGAATAGATTTCAACTCTTAGCGATCCTGTATAGGGTTTCCTGAGTAGCTAGTAGGTTTAAACCACTGACCTTGCAGTTCCTAGTCCAGAGCTTATTTCACAGCACCACACCAGAAGTCGGGACCAAAAAATAACATAATAAATGGAGAAGACTGAAGTTGTCACAAAGACTTCATTTTGCTTGAATCTATTATCAGCATTCATGGAAGTAGCAGTAAAGAAATCAAATGACATATTGCATTAGGCAAATATGCTGCACAGACCTCTTTAAAGTGTTCAACAGCAAAGATGTCAGTTTGAGAACCAAGGTGCACTAGACCCAACCCACAGTATTTTCAATCACCTCACATGAATGTGAAAGTTGGACAATGAATAAGGAAGACCGGTAAAGAATTGATGCATTTGAGTTATGTTGTTGGAGGAGAATATTAACAGTATCATGGGCTGCCAGAAGAACAAACAGTATCATGGGCTGCTGGAAGAAGTACAGCCAGAGTGCTCGTTAAATGGCAGGATGATGAGACTTTGTCTCTCATGCTTTGAATATATTATCAGGAGGGACCATTTTCTGGGGAAGGACATGCTGCTTGGTGAAGTGGAGGGTCAGCAAAAAAGAGGAGGACCCCAATGAGATGGAATGCTTCAAACGTAACAATAATTTTGAGAATGGCACATGACCAGGGAGATTTTGTTCTGTTATGTTTGGAGTTGGTAAGAGTTGGAAATGATGGTACCTAGCAATGTTGTTAGGTGCTGTTGAGTTGGTTGCAACTCATAGAGAGTTTCTGAGGAGCAATTGGTGGGTTCAAACCATTGGCCTCGCGATTAGCTTATCCTACAATCAATGCTTATCCTACAGAGCCACACCAGGAATCCTTGCATATTACATACCAAGGCGTTGTTGTTGTGTTGTGAAGTGCTGTCGACTTAGTTCTGACTCACAGCAACTCTTTACAGGGTTTCTGAGGAGCAGCTAGTGGGTTTGAACTGTCAACCTTGTGGTTTACAGTCCAATACTGATCCTACAGAGCCACAGCAGGATGACGAATATGGTGGAGTAAGCAAACTCCAGTGTACACACCAAGAGCTGCTAGATAATGAGATGCATTGTCAGCGTGAAAGGGAGTGAAAAAAGAGAGAGAATTAAAAACAACTGATTATAACATTTCCAGTTAGTTTATTGATAGAAATGTTTACCTTAATAGCATGAAAGACAGAGTTTTAAAGGTAATTTGATAAGATGTTTTATAAGTACTTTGATAAGAACGTTAGTCTGCATATCAAAGGTCAGGGATGAAACAGATCTGACCATTGCTCCAGAAATAGCAGGTAAAACTATATGGTAGCTTTCCTTTTTAGAGAGTTTGACTATAGAGAGAAAAGGGCAGAGGGGTTGTATTTAGTCATCATTCAAATGGAAGGAAGGCAAAAGCAGAAAAAATGAAACCATTTTTTTAGG